AGGTCCTTTTCAAGGCAGTCTAAAAATCTTAGGTTTGGTCGTCCTCTTTTTCTTGTACCTGTTGGCCTGGGACAGAAATTTTTTTTGGTTGTCCTGCTATCCTCCATTCTTATAATGTGGCCTGCCCATTTAATCCTTTGAATTTTGATAAATTTATATGTTACTGAACTGTTACTTACTGCAAATATGTTACTGAAATTATAAGTAATATATAGTAATTTCAGCGAAAAAAAAAAGCTTTTATTTTTATATTAAGAGCAATTTTTCATAACCAGAAGCCAATCCAAAGAGTTATTAAAATTTTAAATGTTTGCCTACTATCTTATCTTATCATATTATCACGATATCAAAGTAATGCAAATAAATACTGGAAAATATAACAATACAGGAGTTTTAAACTATTCCACACCTTATCACCAAGTGATCAAGATAAGAAGTGATATACTTTTGTTACAATTCCAATTCCGATAATTCCATTATATAACTTTCTTTTACTTTTGATTACTTTCCAAATCTTGATGAAATGATATCTAATAATGATGAACAGATAAATGTGTCAACCGATGTCGAATTCTGTGAAGGTAGTTAATCTATCTAGATCATAACACAGACCTTTAAGGCTTTATTGGTTTGATAAAAAAAAAAGTTTCTTGAGTCAGTTCAGCTGGAGTGAGAGCAGTATCATTAAAAAGATTATTAAGAGGGGATAAAAATATCTTCGACTTTTAGTTTTCCCCATTTCGATATTTTATTCAAGCCATGCTTTATTTCTTCATTTACATATTCACCTTTTACCCATAAATCGTTTGCTTTTTATTTAAAATCGTTTTTTAAACTATTTTACCTTATGATGATGTTATGATTGTCTACAATTTAACATTATTTAAATCTGATTTTTTTAAAAAAAATAAAACATTTGATATGTATATGCAAGGGTGCCACTCTTCAGTCCTGGGGACTGAAATCAGTCTTGAGAAAAAATCAGTAGTCTAAATTTCATCAACTAATATTTATTTTCCATTTGTTATTTTTAAAATTAAAATGTTCTTTTTCCCTTAAAAATTTAGTAAACAATTTTCTGTAAAAATATAATGCATTTTAATGTAAACATTGTTATTTTTCATAATTATTGCAAAGTGATCAAGTAGATTTCTTTTTTTTTTAAATAAAATACTTGATATTTGTAAATATTTTTTGTAATTTCTTTGTAATAAAATTTATTTAATCTGTTTTAATTTTATTTTTTTCAATTTTTTTAAAAAAAAATTACGCATTAGTAAATTAAAGAGGATAATCACTATTTAACAACTATTATTGAGTTTGCTAATTGGTGCAACATATTTTTGATCTGCAGTTTTAACTATGTGAAATCATATCAAATTTTTGATTAAATTTTGGTTTTTACTTATCGAACAACATAAATTTAACTGTCTTTCTCTTCACCTACGAAAGTTTGTAAAAATTGCAAAAATATTTTATCATGATCAAACTAACTTAATGAAAATCATGGGGCAGAACGGCTTATGTCCATTTTTCACAAAACTGGCCATTGGATCGTAATATGCCACATTATTAGCATTACTAAGTTGTGACTAATCAATAACCAGAAAATCGGTTCTCTCTGAGAGTTATTACATAGTGAAGATCGGCAGTGCTGGGGAAAAAGATATTCCTGTCCCCGAATTCGTTTGTTAGTTACTGTGCGAATTGCTTGAGTAAATTCGCACACAATACTGTGCGAATTACTTGAGTAACAGCTTCTGTGCAAAAAGCTGTTACTGTGCAAATTCGTTTATTTATTTATTTTATTTATTTTTTTTAAAAAATTTTATTGAATCTCAAAATCAGCTATCGTGGACGCAACTGTTCTTTCTTCTTGATCTTGCAAATGTTAATTTATAATTTTTTTAAAATAAATATTGTTGTTTTATCAATTCATATGAGACTGTCATCCTGTTATTATCTTGTATTTTTAAACAGTTCATTAAAATATTTGCTTATGTGCAGAATGCGTTATGTAATTACGTAATTAATGCGTTATGTAATAACTGCGTTATGTAATTTGAATAAAAAGACACATTTTTTTAAAAAAATTATTTCGCTTTTCAAGGTTTCCCACATAAAACATATTCATTATAAAAACACTCACGAAAGATTTAAAATTTCTAAGAAACGGGATTTTCTTGTATTATTAAAGTCTAATACCAATAATTTGTTTCTGAATTAAAAGCATATGTCGTTGATGCCGTGCCAAAAAACAAGTATCGGTCAATTTTTAAAGTGGCAGATAATTTTTGTTTTTAATTTTTTTTGTTGAAAAAAATATCTTTTAAGTTGAATTTGTAACAGATAGAGCTGGGTTAATAACATTAAAAGCGTGTAGAGTTTTCTAAGGAAACCGCAAGAAAGTGAAATGTGATTATTATAAACACTGTTTAGTTTCGTTCGACAGTCAAACGGACTGTGATGTTTTTAATCCTGCCTCTTTGCAATTCCTGCTAATATGAATTTGGCATTTTGACTTTCAATTCTCAGCCTATGTGAACCGTAGTATACTAAATTCAACTTTTTTTAAAAGATTATTATTCTGCCAACTGGTGTTACTTATATAATTACTAAAAGTGGTACTTTTATATATTTTTTTTGCCAAGTATTTTTTTGTTAGCTTATCTCATAAAATTGAACACCATTTAAATTATCGACAGTCAAACGGACTGTGATGTTTTTAATCCTGCCTCTTTGCAATTCCTGCTAATATGAATTTGGCATTTTGACTTTCAATTCTCAGCCTATGTGAACCGTAGTATACTAAATTCAACTTTTTTTAAAAGATTATTATTCTGCCAACTGGTGTTACTTATATAATTACTAAAAGTGGTACTTTTATATATTTTTTTTGCCAAGTATTTTTTTGTTAGCTTATCTCATAAAATTGAACACCATTTAAATTATCGACAGTCAAACGGACTGTGATGTTTTTAATCCTGCCTCTTTGCAATTCCTGCTAATATGAATTTGGCATTTTGACTTTCAATTCTCAGCCTATGTGAACCGTAGTATACTAAATTCAACTTTTTTTAAAAGATTATTATTCTGCCAACTGGTGTTACTTATATAATTACTAAAAGTGGTACTTTTATATATTTTTTTTGCCAAGTATTTTTTTGTTAGCTTATCTCATAAAATTGAACACCATTTAAATTATCGACAGTCAAACGGACTGTGATGTTTTTAATCCTGCCTCTTTGCAATTCCTGCTAATATGAATTTGGCATTTTGACTTTCAATTCTCAGCCTATGTGAACCGTAGTATACTAAATTCAACTTTTTTTAAAAGATTATTATTCTGCCAACTGGTGTTACTTATATAATTACTAAAAGTGGTACTTTTATATATTTTTTTTGCCAAGTATTTTTTTGTTAGCTTATCTCATAAAATTGAACACCATTTAAATTATTTTGGTTTATCATTGCTGAAGTATTTAAATATCTGTAATTAGATATTTTAATAAAATAATTTGTGAGTCAAATATATGTATTTCTTTTATTTGTCTTGTTACTACTCAAATTTTTGTTTAGTATGGTTGTATTTGCGGTACGCCAATCAAATCGATGATTGTGTTTGCAAACATAATTATCGAATGAAGAAAAAGTTTGATTTTTTTTCATTTGCAATTATCCAAGTTATTATTATTTTTTCAAGTTTAGGAATTTATTAAGAATTAAAACATTTTAACATATTTAATTGTTTTAGACTAAAATTTGTATCAAACAATATTTGTTAAAGCTGATGGTGTCTCACACGCTTGCATGGCTTTAAACAATCAGTGTTACCCATAATCTACAATTTACTTCTTTTAAAACTGTATCAAAGTCAGTTTTGTGTACATTTTAACTACTGTTAAGTTTATTCTAAGTTTAAAAAAAAAACAGTTTAAAAAAAAAAATAATAATTAACCCGGGTGGGTTTTGTTGAGCTTTTCTGGGTTTTTTAAGATATCTAATTTAACACTTTTTAGATTTAATTTTTAATTCAAAAGAGAACAATTATAATAAAAAGAAAATTTTTAAGCAAAAATAATGATTAAATTATGTAGTACCATCTTTTCATGCTGGTATTAATTAATAAAAGACTCTTAAATTAATTCATTCCTTGAGTAAAAATAAAATCATAATATTGGGATCAGAGAACTATGCTGTTTTCTGTTTTATTCATTTATTTTTAAAAATTCATCATAAGTTATAGCTTCATTTTTTGGTTATAAAGTAAGCCTTTTACAGGCTAACTAACCACAGAACTACTGTTTATTTAACAATTTTCTTAGCAGTTTTAGGAATTACTCTTTAAACTATGTATTTGTAGTTAGTTTTGATCTGAAAATTCGAGAATCAATATATTTAAGATATAAATCTATTTCACTTTTATTTTATTCTTTATTAATCTATTTTGATTATGTTTATAAGAGCCAAAAAAAGAAGAAAAAAAAAGCGTTTGAGCCCGGTTTTTATAGTTTTTTTTAGGTTTGTGGGTGGGTCAAGAACCCTAAATTCATTACTTATTATTTAATTATTTATTATATTATTATTTATCTTTTTTGCTCACACAAATAGAGCGGCTCTTTAAACTAAGTATTTATAGTTAGTTTTGATTTGAAAATTCCAGAATTAATACATTTAAGATATAAATCTATTTCTCTTTTATTTTATTCTTTATTAATCTAATTTGATTATGTTTATAAAAAACCGAATAGAAAAAAAAAGCGTTTGAGCCCGGTTTTTATTGGTTTTTTTAAGGTTTGTGTGTGGGTCAAAAACCCTGAATTTATTACTTATTATTTATTATATTATTATCCATCTTTTTTGCTCACACAAATAGCTTGATTTTTCTGAACGAAAAATTTAGTGTATGAATTGTTGGTCTTTGATTATTGCATTGAATTCTATTATGTTAAATATATTTTATTTGTACATTGAATTAAATTTGCTTTTATATTTTTCAGTTTTCTTGACATTTGTGAATTGCTATAGTATGAAATGGGTTACTCGAATACAAGATAGTTTTGCGTTTGCTAAAATATTAGCTCTTCTAGTGATTATTTGTGCCGGAATGTACTACTTAATATTTGGTAACATGAATTTTTTAATTATTATTACTTGTAATTCTTGTCATGCATTGTTTGTTGTTTTTAATACTAAAAGCTTAGATTTTTAGGATTTGCATAATTACTTGAAACAACACAACAAGGAATAAATTTTTATTCTTTTTAGTCACGCTTATTTTTATAAAAAAAAAAGTTTACCCTGATTGCTGTATCGTTTTTTACCTATTATTATTTACCGTTATATAAGAAATTATTATATACCGTTATTTACCATTATACCGATCATGGGCTACAATAGTGAAACAACTCAAAAAACACGAGTTTTGAACTAAGAACAGTTGTAAGTAGGAAAATACACATTCTTTCAGCAGCAATACTTGCACAACTCATAATTCAACTTGAAGGTAATCTTCGTTTAAGCAAACGAAAGCATTTCTTATACATTTTGCTTAGCAATAAAAACTTTAAACCCTTTATCTCAAAACTTGATTTTTTGAGTTGTGCCGCTATTGAAGCCCATGAGGGATCTAAGAAAATAATTAATATAAAATTTTATAATATCGTTTTAAAGTATCATGTTGAAGGGCATGCACTTACCAATGAAGTTCAATAAATTTGATTGAATTACTTCTTTGTTTATTATTATGCTAATTATTTAGTCCACCAATACTTCATACTTTCTGGCTAATAATACTTAATACATCTTAGTTAATAATACTTAGTACTTCTGATTTATACTTTAAGTAATAAAAATGTTGATGCAAATGATGGCAGATTAATAATAAATACCTATAACTACACAATAAAAAAAGATGTTTGGACTTTTAAAATTTTTTCGGTCTTTAACATTAAAGTTTTTTGGGCATGTAAAGTCTGAATAAAACTAATCACTGTAAACTAACATGCCTGGATGGGCATGTAAAAATTTTTAAACTTTTGTGTCCTGCTGGGAAATAACTATATAATGCTTAATTTTAAATTTTGATGAAAACTTGATTTTTTGTGATTGTGATATTTTTTTTTAAATTATTTTTTGACTTATGATATTATAACTTGTGATATTTTTTATTTTTTGTTGTTTCTCCTTTGAAATTCTTTTAGCTCATAAGTGTTTGAATTTTTTAATAATTTATGCTGCTTATAAACTCTTTCAGTTCAACTACCTTATAAATATTTTATTGTCATCTGCAGAGAAAAGAAAAACATTTTCGGTTTTAGAGCAAAAACTTCAAGTAATGTTAGCATTGTTTTAAAGACCTCATATTCTTCATTTAGATCTTTCAACATAAATTACAAAAATTAATGTTGATTTTTCTCATTTTGTAATATAATATAATTTCAAATAATGTATAAAAACAGGTTTATTTTTTACATACTATTATTTTTATTTGTAAAAATTTACTTTTCAATTTTTGTCCCCTGAAATCCAGATGTATATTGTTCTTTGCTTTTTATATATATACATAAAAAAACATGGTAAAATGGGCAATTGTGATAATAATCTTTAATTCAAAGTGTTATAACTTGGATATTCTTATAAAAGTTTAATTATTAACTAAAGGAAATTGCATCAAAAATATATTTGTATTAAAGCTAAAATAAAAATGATATGATGCACATTTAATTCCCCTCCCCCCCCCCCAAAAAAAAGACTGTTAGCATGCTTTGAGTCGGAATGGCTCAAATATACGTAGACATTATTTTAAATTTAAGTCAATGTATTATATCTATCATATTTTTTATGTACTCTTTTAATTTTTAGGCAGTACAAAAAATCTTTCAAATGTTATGGAAGATACTTCCTGGAATTTTTCTGATCTTTCTTTGGCTGTTTATTCAGGAATGTTTTCTTTTTCTGGATGGTAATTAAGATCTTTTATTTCTTTTTTATTGTTTTCTTTTAAAAACTAGTGTTAATTTCATTCATAAAATCTAAAGAAATCGATGCGTAAATATTAAAAGCAACTTTTTATTATTTGTTTATTATTATTTATTATAATTATTATTTATTATAATTATTATTTATTATAATTATTATTTGTTATTATTATTTATTTTGAAATATATTATTAAAATGTTGAGAAAACTATTAGTATGATGACTAAAAAATATTTTTTTTGTGTTAAATATAAATATATTGTTGAAAAGTTGATTATATGTTTTATTACTATACTTTGGTCGGGGGAAATAATGAATTAATAAGTTTCAAACATGATTTTTGGCGAATGCGGGGTTTATTATGTAAAATCAGAGTTTAGATCATATAAATCAGATGTTTAAAAGAAAACTTTTATTAAGTATAATTGACTTAAGTTTTGTTATTTTCTGTTACAAAATTTTATTAATTTTTGTTAATTATGTTTTTAAATGTTTCTTTTGAGGTATACTGTTTTATTTGATAAAGTTTAAATATTTATTTTAACCATTATTTTCTGCCAGTTTCAATTAAATATATATTTTCTTTGTTTATTTATTGTATATGTGATTAGCCATTGCTAGTCAGGGAAGACGAAATGAATAAATGAATAATAATTTGAAATGAATAAAATTGCTTTTATTTCTCAGATTTATTTATTTTTGAGTTATACAATTTTAACATTTTATAAAATTTAAGTATCAAGCTATTTTAACTAATAATTTTTACCAGTTATTATTAAATATTCATTTCATTGTTTTTTCAAATATATATGTAGCTAAGAACTGCTAGTTGAAGGTGCATATTTACTTGAGATTTATAGATTTTTTTACGTAATATTTCTTTGTTGTGCTATTTATGTTTTATTATAATGATTATTTACATTGAGTAATTAAAATAGTATACAATATTTAAGATGAAAGGATCAATGATTTTTAATATGTAATTGTAATAAATGTGTACATTAAATTATACATCGAATTGAGGGAAAAGATAAATGCAAATAAGTGAATTGTGAAAATGATAGGAAATACAATCTGATGCTGATTACATAAAGCATAATCTTATGTGAGTCGTTTAACATACTCTGACACCAATGAAATATTGTGTTGCAGGTAACTTTTTTATTAGCAAGTCCTATTACTGAACATGGTTGCTTCGAAATTTCAAATATTAAATTGTATGTATTGACGAGGCTTTTTTTTCGTTGTTGCTTTAACAACTTTCAACTTTCACATATAAATTTTGACCAGTTGAAGTTTAAGGCAAAAAATATTTTTTCTTGAGTTAACATATATATATATACACAATCTTACATGAGCAAAATATTAGATGACAGAACCTCACCCTAACTAATACTTTTTTTAACAGTCCTCATTTTTCTAACTCTTTCCTAAGTATAATAACTCAAAGAATTTTAAATAAATTTTGTTAACTTAGCATTTTTTTTTTTTTTTTTTTTTTTTTTTTTTTTTTTTTTTTTTTTTTTTTTNTTTTTTTTTTTTTGCTTGGGGCAACCTACACAATTTTATTTTCATTAAATTTTATTCAAATTTTGGCCAATTACAGTTTAAAGCATACCATTGGTTCCTACTTGTAGGATTTTTGATTTATAATTTTTCGTTTCAAACAGGAAAAGAAAAAAAAAGGTGTTAAAGTGGTAAAACTTTTCATTCAGGCTGATGTCAGATTGATACAAAATAAATTAAAGCCAGTATGAAACCTAATTGTTGAACCAATTTGCAAGAAAATGATAAATAAAAAAAAATCTTAGATAATGCTTATTGACTGCAGTGGATTTAACCTTGTTTTCAGGCATAGTTTTGTGCTTGTAATATCATTCTTACTTATTACAAAATCTTTTGAAAAAGAAAAAATTTAAATTTTGATTACCTTCATTTTTAAATTATAGCTCCCCGACTCTACAACTTTTGCTTAAAAAAAGTGAGAAAAGAACAGTTTTTAAATTTATTTTTAAAGAAAAGAAATGTTTTTGCAGTAATAGTTCACAATTGGGGTCCCCTCTCATTTTTAGCGTTTTGCAAATAAACAAATATATATGTAAATAGACCAAGAACCGGTTACATAAAGGCAAACAAAAGTTATGCTGACCCGAAGGTGACGTCAGTGAAGGCAAAGACCAGAAATGGGGTTAATGCCAAACCAAGGGAGTCCCAGATTCTACTCTATCGTTTTTGCTTATTTATTTATAAATGAAAAGCATTAATTTTTAATTTACTAAGTTGTCAAAAGTTTTGTAATGGTTGTTATTTACTTGTGTTTTTGTTTTTAGGAATGCACTTAATTTTGTAACAGAAGAAATGAAAAACCCTGTAAGGTAATATATTTCCTTTTTTAGTTTAGTTAACAATCATTTTAATTTATTATTCCCTTTATTAACTAAAATAAATGTGCTTTTTTTAAAAAGAAAGTTATTGAATCTTTAGCCTCATATTTTTCGTAACATCTATAAAATTATTTTTTGATTTTTCAGAGATTTACCTCGAGCAATTTACATATCTATTCCACTAGTTTCTGTGATCTACCTTATGACAAATGTGGCCTATTTTTCTGTTTTGACAAAAGAAGAAATACTTGCTTCTAGTGCCACTGCTGGGGTATTTATTTCACTTCTGTTTGTTTTACTTTTATTCTTTATTCCTTGATTGGTTATTGTACAGGGTTAGTGTGCAAGAATGATCATATATGTAGTTTAGTGTTATATATACATATACAAAGTAGTTATATTTACAAAACTACTACGCATACACAGTTGTTTATTTTTGTGCTAATGTTAAATTCATTTGTTAATGAAATCCTCTGTCAAGTTAAATTACAGTTCTTCATTAAATTAAAAATTATAATCAAATTATTGGATAACAAGAGTAAAATTATTGTGCAATAATAGCAGTAATTATCCTTAGCAGCTAAAAGTTGTTGCTACATAAACTGCCCTAAAAATCGCTTCAAAAAACTCAACACCCAATTATTCTTACTTCAATTAAATAGTTTTTTTGACTCAAGTCTTTGATAACTATTTAGTTTTCTGTATTTTTTTCTTTTCAAATGTGTCATTCAGTAGTTCAGTTGAGTGTTTTTTGTATTATATTTGTCTAAGCCAATTTTGTGTTTGTATATATCTATATATATGTTACGGCCAAAGCCTGAAGTCGGACAGATCGCGAATTAGCCAAGAAAGCTGTAAATTGGCTGGCCAAAGTCCGAAATTTTCTTGATTGCATTTAAAACAAAGTAAAAACTTGTCTATTTTTTATATTTTTAAATTAGAAGATTTACATTTTTAAATTAAAAAGGAAAACAAAATTGGCAATATTAGCAAATAAACTTTTTAATAAAACAATTAAATAGACAATTTAATAATGATTATTAAATTAATGATTATTTAATAGACAATTTAAAAACTTCTATTTTTTATATTTTTAAATTAGAAGATTTGTAAGAATTATTTATATAATTATAGAAGGCCGCCAAAGTAAAATGTTCACTGATCGTTTAAATTATTTCACACTTTAGCTGGCCACTTCGTGATCTGGCCGGCCAATCCCCGAAATCAAGAAAATTTCAGGCTTTGGCCGTAACATGTACACATATTGAAAACTATAATTAAATTATTGGGTAAAAAGAGTAAAAGTATTGTGTGATAATAGCAGTAATTATCTTAAACAGATAAAAGTTGTTGTCATAGACTGCCGTATACTATATATACTCTTATATTGATAAAAGCATGTATTTTTGCTGGTTTTTTTCTTGTTTAAACTTAAAGGTTAAATATTTGTGAAACTATTTTAAAAGGATTTTAATAAATTAAAATATCAAATGTATGAAGCAGTTACATTTGTAATTTGATTTCATTTTTTTTCTTTGTAAAGTAACAATAAATTTTAAAAGTAGGCCAATTAACTTAAAAGTATTACCTTGAGGGGGAGGAACCCTGTCATATTAAGTTGAGGACAACTATGACAAAATCAAGCAACATTTATTACCAACTGAAACATAACAATAAGATAAAAACAGAAAAGTAAAAGTTAAGTATGAGTGTGCACAGAGCAATGTTCGAAGCTTTTTAAATATTGAAGAAAGGTACAAGTTTGCCGATCCTGTGTACGTCATCCAGCTGATTCCTTTGGCGACTACGCACCATGCCTGGTGCTGCAACCTAAAAGACCTTTTAAACCAATTTAAATTTTAAAAACTCTAATTAAAAGATTATAAGTCTAAGTCTTTTGCTGAGAATTACACCAGCCACAGTTTTATGCTTTTTAAAATATGTTTGGGATAAAAATAATAAATAAAAAAAAACGTTAGTTTAAACAACAGTTTGTTTCGGAAAACTTCAAAAAATGTAAGTAAAAAATGTTTAAATTACTAAGCGAAAAATTCAGGTTAAAACTTAATTTATTTTTAAAAATCGGGGTTACCTTAAAAATACTGAGATTTTCTCCTCTAAGATACCTTCCGACTCCAAGGAGTGTTACACACAATCATGCATGTGTATTAAAATTGTTGAATAGTTATTTGTTTTGTATTGTATCAATGTACGTACATATCAAATTTCATTAAAACTGCTCCGGTAGTTCTAGAGATAATAGACCAAGTTTGCAAATTCTCTTAACTTCTTACACCAGTGTGTTTTAAGTTTTATATTATCATAAAACTTGAATTTCATTAGTTTTATTCATTATTATATTTTAAAATTTTTTTTTTTTTAAATGTTATGTTTGTTTCTATAGGCTTTTGGTGATAAAATATTAGGAGTAATGTCTTGGATTATGCCTTTATGTGTCGCATTATCTACATTTGGTGGCCTCAATGGGGGTATATTTTCATCATCAAGGTATATCAATTTGCATATGTGTATGAATATGTGACTTTTTCCCATTTAAATATCAGTGAAACAAAAAAAAAAGTAGGGTTTTCTTGTATAATACACTTCTGTACTAACGCAGAGATGATTGTGCTCCAGAAAAAATCCGGATTTCCGGATTTTTCGCTAACCGATCACACTTATATATAAAAACTCTTGTATATTTTATTTAAAAATATTAGTACTAGAATTTATACTTGCCATTTCTTTCATTTGTAATGGCATTTGTTTCATTTCTGGCAGAATAATAAATGTGATTAGAGATAAAAATGAACTTATACATAATTATTCATTTAAATTAGGCTGCATATGATTTATTTAATACTTCATGTTTTGAAATTATCAATGATTTAAAATTATAAAGACATAAATTTTTTTGAAATGCGTCATAAAGGATTTTACTCGAGAAATTTTCAGGATTTTCAAGTTGGTAACAACAAGTAACGTAACATGCTAAGTTTTAATTTTTTTACTATACACTATTGTCAAATATATTAAGTATTTAACAATCTATGACTAAGATTAACCAAAGATGTTAAACTATGTTTTAGTGGTACAACGAATTTCTTTTTAATTTTTATTAAGCATTTTAAAATTTTTTTGAAAAAATTTTACAATTGTTATCAATATATTTTAGCATTATGCTATTGTTCACTACTTTAATTTATAAGAGTGTTTCAGATGCTGATAACATTTATGTATGAATTTTTACTTCTTTTGTATTTGAATCTTTTGCCATTTTAATCTTTAAATGGTTAAGATAAGAAGGGGGAATTTCTCCCTAACTTCCTTAAATTTCTTAATTCTACTTTTTTTCCAAATTCATTAAAATGTATTAAAAAGTCAAATTTAGTGAAAGTGTATATCAATGTATGTAATCTAACAAATAATAAATGTCATTAATTTTGTCTCCAATATTGTAATATAAGGGCAAGAGTAAGTTTAATATTAATTTTTTTTTTTTAATTTTAACTAGCAGAAGTACAAGTTTCTGTATTTCTAAACACCTTTATATCTAAGACCATAAGCTCTTCTATTTTAAACATTTTCTAACTTATCCTTTTACTGTAAACCTAATATTCTTGAGGTATTCTTTTCTTTTCTAAGTTTATTGAACTATGTTTTTATTGATGCAATATCTATATTATTTTCCTTTCTCTTCAGATTTCTCATCTGAATTAATTCCAACCAAATTGGTATGTGCTCTGTTGTGCATCTGTGTTTCTTTATTGCTTTCTTTAGTTAGAGTAGTGTCATGTGCATGCTTTTTTTTCTTTGCTGTAATACTTTTAATTCGTCACACTCTTTTTCAATAAATGTTGCAGTTATACACGGCAAGGAAAAGCTCGGAAATAGTTTAAGAAATAAATTTAAGATCAAAAATAAATAAATCAACATCTGTAGTTTTCAGACTTGGATCATCCTGATCAGGATGAATCACTGATCATCCTGATCAAAGGGCACTCAGACTGATCCAGTTATCGAAAAATCTGGCTGAACGGACGATTGTAAAAACCACAATTAGAAAAAATTGTGATTTTATTTTAAAAAAAAATTTTTAAATCTTAAAATCAAATTTTCTTCCTTTTTTTCTTTTTACATTTACCAATCAAAATTCTGTAAAATGTATCAATAATGCTTAGTATTTTAAAAAATATGGCTAAAAAAATTCGAAATCTCTAATTAAATTGGTTAAAATTATTACAAAACTGATAACTAAATGACTAAAATTATAGGTATTTTTGTTCAAGCACAACACTGTCATGAGTTTGTAAAGACCTAAGTCCCATTTTGCCACTTAGATATAAAATGCAGATCAAATTTAAACTTATATTGATCAAGAAACATTAAAAATAAATAAAAAAATTGAATTGCTCTTGAGCGAAAAGTTTTCCTTCATTATTTTTTTCTTCTCAAACTGCATGTTTCGTAAGCTTTAAAAGTACCTGTATTTAATTATTAATAGCAAATTATTTTATAAACAACTTATGAAGATTATAGTTTAAAAGTCATCTTAAGCCACATCACTTTTATCTTTATTATTTTTATCACCAAATAATTATTTACATTCATTCCTCTCTCATTATTTCTATTGATAAAACCTTCAATGTCATTGAAAATTTTAAAAATAACATAAAATAAGTGATTTATATCAATGATTTAAAAAAAAATAAATTAAGTGAATTATCTTGCTAACTCTAATTTCTCGTCCCTCTTTTTTTCATACTAATGATTTGAATTTGCATTTTGCTCTTGTTTGCAATACTGTTGTTTTCTTTTGCAAACAGTGCCAATTGAACTCATTTTAATCACCTTTATTCACCTTTTAATCACCTTTAACACTTCATTGTAACTTCCTATTCCCATCAAAATTTGAAATTCCAAAATCAATTTATCTGTATTTTTATTTGATGGCAATTATTATATTCCTTGGAGTCTCCTTTGAAGAACGCAAAGTTTCAAAAGAAAGGAATTTTTCTAGAGCATTCATTTTAGCGAATCTGAAGATAAAGAATGATTTCTTGAAAAAAACATTTTTGGAGAGGGTGGGAAAAAATGCATGATCCTTATTCTTGATTGGTCTGATTAATATTAATTGGACAATTCAGTTAATCGCATACCCGATAGAGACGCTCTACTGCAATGTTTAGAAATTTTGAGTTGGATCTCGGGCGCATTGGGATTTGCCTTATTTTTAACTTTGATTTTTCAAACCAGGGGTCTGTTTAGAATAAATTTGGGTTCGTTAACGGACCCTTCACGAAATATCTTTTCATAAAAACAGGCCCTTGACAAAATATTTTAACTTAAAAACGGACCCTTCACAAAATAATTTATCTTTTAATCGGACTCTTCACAAATTTGTTTATCTTCATTATTGTTTTGTTAATCGAATAAACCCTTCCCAGGAAGGGTGGGGGAGAAAGACAAATGTAAACGAACTAAATTTTGTCTTCGGCAGACGCTTCTTCCTTTATTCGTCCGAAATGAATATTCTGCATTCAGCAGTATAGGCTAAATACCAAATATTTATATGTTGCATTGCTAATTTAGTAGCTGCAATTGCTGTTTATTTTTTAAAATTTTTATTTTTTTAATTAGAATTTTACAGTGTTGAGCATAATTTTGTATGTCTTTACAATTTAAAAACTCCTTGAAAAAGTTTTTTTGCAATAACAGACCCTATTTGCACAAATTCACAAAAGCGGACCCTGGTTGAAGGAATGTGACTTAACGTTTATTTTATGTTCACAAATTACGAGTAATTTTTTCACAATTTTACAAAAGCGGACCTTTCACAAAATGTCTGGACAGACCCCTGCAAACAGAATGATTCTTAGATGCATGATAAGATAACCTTTAATTTGTTATACCTAAATGATTTATATTTTGGGTATGGTGCTAATTCAAGCTTTTAATTAGTATGATGTTTAATACATCGTAACTTTTTTTTTGTGGCAAAAGTCTTAATATTGTAATGCAGGTGTAAGCCCCTTGCCTTTAAAATTTATATTTATTAAAGGTCTACTAATTCATATTTCTTTGAAATTGATTTATTGCACACAATTGCATATGAAATTTTTTTTTAATTTGAAAGTTGATGTTTTTTTCTTCATTTTTCTTTAAAGTTTCCATACTTTTTCTTCACACTGTATATAACTTGTAATCTTTTCTTTCAAAAGAAAATATTTTCTTTGTTTCTTAAATATCTGTATTACATTATCTCAGATCACTTGATTAATTACATGTTTGTGTTAGTAAGAGTTCAATTTCATAGGTTCGTTGATGTGTTATTATTATTTTACTTATTTATTTGTATCATAACCTTATTGTCAATCATTGAACAGAAAACCAACTGCATTATTTTCTTTTTCCACTTGATGTTTTTGCTTTCTAGCATATTTTACTTAATATATTTTCTCTTTTTTGTATCAATAGAAAAACTAAATTTTGTAAATAACATTAATATAAATGTCTAAGTATCTGTGCATGATTGTTGTTTTGAATATTTTGATTTTAATTATTTATTATACAATTTAATGTACATAGCTTGAATAAGTAAAATTACACTTAAAATATATCACTTTTGCATATTAAAAATCTTCCGTAATAAAATTAAAGATTGCATGAATGCAAATTTTGCTGTACTTAGCATTTAATTCTAACTGTATAACAAAAACTGTTTTAGATAGCCACAAATGTACATAATTTACTCATTTGAGGAACAACTTAGTACGCTCTGCAAACTAGATGCCCAATCAGTAAACTACAATACTAAATCTGGGTCTGTTTGAATGAAATCGACAATTATTGTCTTGTGGATTTCGACAATAATTGTTAGCAAACAAGTAATTAAGAAAATTTAAATAAGTATCAGTTTATATAACGTGGGCAGGAATTCAAGGGAAATGCCGATAGTAGCATGCAAAGATATTTCAGCAATGGATTGCTATGCAATTCTCAATCTTTATGATCCGCTCCAAGTTTATATACGAAGTTCCAGTACATCCTGTGCGCAAATTCTTTTTTATAATAAATATCAATGAAGTTTGCTTAAATTTTATAATAAAAATGAAATTGTGTTCTGTTGTTGTAGGTTGTTTTTTGTTGGAGCTCGTCAAGGTCACTTGCCTAGTATCGTATCCATGATAAATTTAAATCATTCCACACCTGCACCAAGTCTAATTTTTCTTGTAAGCATTTTGGCTATCTGTATCTATAATTATTTAAATTTTTGTATTTATATTTTTTCTTGTTTTCATGCATCTTTTTTCTTTATTTCTAGGCTATAATGACTATTTTATATTTATGGGTTGGAGGCATATATGTCTTGATCAATTTTACGTCATTTATTGAAGCTCTTTTTATTACTCTGACTATAGCTGCTCTACTTTATCTTCGTATACGCGCTCCAAAGATGGAACGACCTATTAAAGTATGCATTAAAAAGTTGTTTTTGTATTTTGTTTTCTTATTTTATTAATGATTATAAACCTGTGTAATTTAATTACCACCCTTGATGTACATTTTTTGGTAGTCTTACTAGAAAAGTCATTTAAATGTATGATGAATATGTCATGTTAATTTAAGTAAGCATGTGTGGGGGGGGGCGGAGTTATCGACAATGCCAACCTTCATCTATCAAAAGGTACTTCAAGATTGAATCAAGCTAGCATGTCTTATATACCAGTGAATTGATGTTTAATAATCGTAGTGGTAATTATGCCACAATACTCCCCCATCAGAATTTTATCAGGGATGGAATTCGATGAACGGATGCCACTAGCTGCATTTGTGAAAGACCGGGAGAGATGGATTAAGGTCACCGTGTTTTTGAGTGCTGAATGTGAGAGGTGTATTAACTTCACGGTCGTATTCGCTCCTATGTTGTCTTTAGCAGTCGAGTGCATGCAGGCTGACGTTGTGTATGATCGAGAAGAGACTGGGCAGCAACAGCGCAAGGAGGTGGATAATGTTGCAATCACAAGTAGCAAGTCAACTGTTCAATGTGAACCATCCATCAAAGTAGGCGTTACCAGATCGAAGTGGGCTTTACTATCAAGATAGGCGTGCTCGCATCACGTTCGAAGGTCACCAATGTGGGGAGAGAAGTTATCAACAATTCCAACCTTCATCTATCAAAAGGTACCTCAAGATTGAATCAAGTTAGCATGTCTTATATACTACTGAATTGATGTTTAATAATCGTAGTGGTAATTACGCCACACATGCACTGTTTTGTTGGATATTGCTATGCAGTAGACCAGTATTAATCGGAATCAGAAAAACCAGGATGACCATAAAAAAGAATTGCAGATTGTGGCTGTTAAAATGTATGGGAAGATAATATTCTTCTTAACCCTTCATTCCTTCCTTGAGTACAATCAACCAGTTTTGCTCATGTTCTGTATTGCAGTTCGCGCTTGACAAGGCAATATATGATTCTATGACTCAACCCCCATTGCACTATCAGTGTTGTACAGATTAAAATTTTCCACTTGCTTTACATTCTTTTCATAGTGTTATTATGTCAAAATAGAAAAGTCATTTTTAGTATAAATCAAAAGCTGAAAACATTTAAAAAAAATCAGAATATTGATGAACTCTTAAATCCTTATTGCATGAATGTGAGATTAGTGTTCAAACTGTGTGAGGCTTTATTAAAAGAAATTTATTGTATAATTGTATATTTATTGTATTTTTAGCTGTTGTATAAAAAAATTTTACGTTTCTATCATTTTTTCATCAAAATTTGTATGACTTGGATAATCTGGGACATTCACTTATTAGAGACAGAGCATTTTGGATCATCTCGGTTAAATGAGAGTCTATTGTCTCTTAATATCTAAAATCTTTTTAGAAAGAGGTTTTTTTATATAAATTTTTTTTCTCTCTCTTTCTTTTCTTTTCAATTATTAAAATAATTTTATGAAGTCCAAATTTTCTATGAAATAACTTAAATTTCTTTCCTTTACTTACATATTTTGTTTGTCGATAAGGAATAGCAAAAGGAAATTCAATATGAAAAGAATAAAATTCTAAGTAGTGCCAAATATTTTTTTTGTTTCCAAGGGCACATTAAAAGACAATTGAACATCAAAAAGATAACAATAAATCTATAAATAAGAGCGAGCAGTCCAGTAGCGTTCCCAGATAGATTTCCGAGGGAGAGCAGGGCACCTAGGTAGGTAAGACAAGTCCATTACCTCGTGGAGGTTACACAATGTACAAAAGGGATCATGAACCACATTGACGCGACATTGATTTTTTTTTCAGGCAATCGTGGCCAGTTATCAGACGAAACATGGCAACAGATTTCATCCTAAGCCACTGAGGGACATTGAGAATCTGTTTAAGCCATGGTTTATTGGAATTATGATTTTTGAGTTTCTCGTGAGAAGAGGGCCTGAAGATGTTCTTTATGTGACATTTGATATTATAGAAAGGGAGTCTGGAATTAGATCTCTCTAGGACAGGGGCTCCCTTTTTTGCCTGGAGATCGGCCGCCTTGTTTCCCTGGATTCCACACTGCCAAATATGATCTGTTGTGTAAAAAATATATTTTGAAAATTTCTGTTGCATAGGAACCATGATGAAAATTGAAGAATTTCCTTGAACAGCAGTATGTAACAACCAAATTGACCAAATAGAAACAGACTCTATAACCAGAAGTTGTTATTAGTGCTCTAAATATTATGTTATATATTACTTATGTTAATATATTTACGGTATTAGGTGAAATATTAGATAACCACGAAAATAATTTCTGTGGTATAAAATATTTACTGTGGTAAAATAAACCATATTATATTTTTAAATTATTATTTTTTTCTGGCTGACTAGATTATTATTTTTGGAGAAATGTGATATCTTAGTTTTTTTTTTCTATTTCAGTCAAAATAACAAATGATTTTTAGCTTTTAATTTTTGACTACTCAATTTTTAGGTTAACTACTCTTCCTTTTAAGATTCAGGTTTAATTTATTAAATTATTCAAAAAAAATATTTTCTTTTGCTAATTTTTAGTTTAATAATCCATTGATGTTGTAATAATACAAATTTTATTTTATAGGTATCGCTAGCTCTTCCAATTTGTTTTCTCTTTATTGGCATGTTCCTCGTGACGCTGCCATTTTTCAAAGAGACATTTTCCACTGTTGTTGCCTTGGTTATTACATTATCTGGAATTCCTACCTATGTAGTTTTTGTTCTATGGAAAAACAAGCCAAGATGGATTGTATCAATTTCTGGTATTTTTATTTTAAACGTCTTAATTTAATGGTTATAGTGCTTGCTTTGTGAGTTAAACACAACATACATGAAAATAAAATAACTGAATTTATATGAATGTTAGAAAGCATATAATTATGTGAACTTTCTCATTGTTCTCATTAAATTTTCATTAAATAAAACAACTTGTTATTGTTAGTAAGATAAAAGAGTATTATTTTCCGTTACATGCATTGTTTTTTTCTTCCTTCTATTATTTGATTTTATTTCTATAATATTTCCTTCTCTTAACAATAAAATTAGGAAGAAATAGAAAATAGAGCATAAGTGCAATACAGTGTAGTTAGAGGTTTGGTTCTAGTTAGTCAAGAAAAAATGGTATTTTTTTTGTGCCCAAATTCCCTTGAATCTAAAATATTTAATTATGTCTGATAAAAAACAAAATTTTAAAAAGTTTTAAGGCTTAAATTCACAGAGATGTATTTGCATTATTAAAGATTTTTCAAAGCATGATACTGCTAAATTGCATGCATTTTCGAATTTATACATTTTTACTTAATGACTGAACCAAACCTCTTTATAAATTTATTTAGTTTGTGGATATGAAAAAAAGTACATGAAAACATTATCATGAATCTGAGAACTTTTTTTGATTTACAAGCTCATATTGGAAACCACGTGCCTCTTTCATATGTAAGACTATACTGCTTAGGTTAAATTTTCCATTTTTTTTTTTTATGGAATCCAACATGCAATGCAATGTTGCATGCTTTGAGAAATCTTGTTTCCATTTTATATATAAAATTTATCTTGCATACAAATTAAGAGATTAGAGTGAAACTACTATTTATTACTTTTTATTCATGGCGATAAATGCAAATCAATTATATAATTCATAAGTTTTTAAAAATAAAATGAAAATATTTATATTTGACTAATTTTATGTAATTTAGAAAGTATTGAAAAAAACAGAATAATAATAATTTTTTTTTTATTTCAGTTAAAAACACATTTCTGAAAATTTCAAACTTTCTTTCATCAGACCACTTGATTTAACAAGTTATTATTTTAATTATTTAATTAAATTTTTTTAAAAAACATTCATTTTATGCTGCTGTATAGGAATTTTTGTGATATTTAAAAAACATTTTTTTTTTTATCATTTTATGCTAAAAGTATAGGATAGTTCCTATGCTGAAGGATAGTTCACTTAGCTTAAACTCTTTTAAAGAATTTGACCTATGTCTTATCTGTTTTTTCACATGATTGTTTACAGAGATGTTAATACTTCTTGTTTTCAAACTTGGACCTCACCTTGTCATAAGATTAAAAAAAAAAAAAAAATTCTGAAACTTTTTTGTTTGTTGCTCTTTGTTTGTTGTGTTATTTATAATAAAACTTATACATATTCTTATTTATTTTGTACTTATTTTGATTTATTTCTAAGAACTGTTAAAAATGTTCTTTATGCTTACAGATCATTTCACTGTACTTATTCAAAAGTTCTTGCTGTGTGTTCCCACAAATGCTGAGGCTTCTATTGAGGATCTTTCAAATCCAGCTATGTTTTCTAATGATATTCAGATCAAAGTTAACAAAACTAAGTAAGTTGATTTTCTTTGAAAACAACGTTTAAAATTGCAACTGGTTAAAATTTATTAAAAACCTATTCATGTTTTGGTATCACAATGATACGCATTCATCAGTAGGATAAAAGACTGTCTTTTATCCTACTGATGTTAACTTTTAGTCTACTACTGATTTCTGTTACTGTCAGTCTTTTATCAGTGAGATAAAAGATTGTCTTTAAAGGTACTGATGTTAACTACTATTGATTTCTAATACTAACAGTCTTTTATTCTATTTCATCAGTAGGATAAAAGACTGCCTTCTATTCTACTAATGTTAACTTTTGGTCTTTGGTCTACTGACAGTCTTTTATCCTATTTTTTCAGTGGGATAAAAGAAAGTTTTGTGATTTTTAAACATTATTAATGAAATCCATTTTTATCACAAAAAATTACCCTCATAATTTAAAGCAAGTTTATGATGCTTTTTTCTGTAAATTTTTTTTTGTAAATATTATGATATACATTGTGTTAATACGCGAATTTTGGCAGTCGTATTTAATTTTTTTCTGTTCTGTTGTTTTTTACATATTATTGAAATAATCAGTTGCAGTCATGTGGTAGCACTGAATAGGGGTGCAAAACTATTTGTTTAATAGTACCAATTAGAAAAGAAATTGTGCTAAATATTGGGAAAGATTCTTAGATGTTCTAAAGTTATTCCAATGGTGTACAAGGGTGGGTGGACACTCAGGGCAAATTCCCTTTAAAAAAGGGGGGTAGCTAGAAGAATCTCTTTTTTAAAAAAAACTATTTGGAAAAATATGTATTTATAAAATTCAAAATCTACATTTTAAATTTATATCTTATGTTACTCATAGGGAAAATTATTCTATAGTAAATATTAAAACTATTTTCATACTATTTATTTTATTTTTATACAAAAGTTTAAAATCTTTTTATCATATTAGTTAAGATCTGTTTTTTTCTTACTCAGAGTATTTGATATTAAAAATTAGTACGCTTTTGTAATTTTGAATTCAACATCATGGGTGCAAGTCTTCCGTCCCCAGGACGGATTTCCGTCTTTCGAAAGTGTCCGCGGACGGAAGTAAGACGGAAACAAGACTGACTCGAAGACGGAAATAGGAAAAAAATTTTTCTGTCCTTAAAAATATTTTTTAGGTCTACGTTATTGGTCTACTTTCTTTGTTGTTATTTTACAGGGATGAAAGACTTCCTCGGAAAATCGCTTTTTTCTCCCAATTTTTAAAATTTCCAACCATGTTCCAAAAACTAAAATTTTTGGAGAGTTAAAGAACCCAAGCCGCCCGAACGATAGTTGGATTACCGCGACTTCCGCTATAGAGTGGAAAATGAGTCTAAGCGTTTCGTTTGTTTGGCTGATTTTCCGAATTTTAAATGTTAGGAACTGCGCCGGAATCGCTAAAATCGCGATTTTTAATCAGACGATTTTAATATCAATCATCGATTTTCGTATTTAACTGATTTAAAAGTTACGTGCTGCGATTTTTTTTACGCTATTTAAAACTCGTACCAGCAATTCCTATTCACTCAATTTAAATATCCAATATCGCGATTTGTGTTTAAGCGTTTTTAAAACCCAATATCGCGATTTGTATTCTCGCGAGTTTAAAATCCAACGTCACAATTCGTATTCACGCATTTTTGAATCCAATATTTCGATTCATTATCACGCAGTTGTATCGTTTTTCGTATTTGTACGCTATTTAAAAATTACTCATTGCGATTCGTTTTGACCTGATCTAAAAATTATGCATCGTTATTCTTAATTACGCGATTTAAAAATTCAATATCACAATTTGTATTTAAGCGGTTTTAAAACCTAATATCGCTATTTGTATTCTCGCGAGTTTAAAATACAACGTCGTGATTCGTATTCACTCATTTTTAAATCCAATATTTCGATTCATTATCACGCAATTGTAATATCAGATATCGTTTTTCGTATTTGTACTCTATTTAAAAATTACTCATTGCGATTCGTATTCACGTGATCTAAAAATTCTGCATCGTGATTCTTAATTACGCGATTTAAAAATTCAATACCGCAATTTGTACTTTCGTATTTTTAAAATCCAACAGCGCGATTCATATTCACGTGATTTTAAAATCCATAATCGCGATTCTTATTCGCGCAATTATAAAATTCAATATCGCGATTCATGTTCACGCGATTTTAAAATCCAACCTCAGAATTCATATTCAAGTGATTTTATAATCCAAAATCGCGATTCATATTCACGCGATTTTATAATCATAAATCGCGATTCATATTCACGCGATTTTATAATCCAAAATCGCGATTCATATTCACGCGATTTTAAAATCCAATATCGTAATTTGTATTTTCGTGTTTTTAAAATCCAACAGCTTGATTCATATTTAGGCGATTTTAAAATCCAACCGCACGATTCATATTCACGCGATTTTAAAATCCAAAATCGCGATTCATATTCACACGAATTTAAAATCCAATATCGCGATTCATATTCACGCGATTTTAAAATCCAATATCGCGACTCATAATCACGCGATTTTAAAATCCAATATCGCGATTCTTCAAAGAAGTAGAAGTAAGTTTTTTCTTGAATTAGTTACTGTAAAGATGTGGTATATTTTTCATTAGTAAGCAATTTAATAGTTGTGCCTTCCTATAATTGCTTAATTTTTTTTGATATGGTAGTCAAAATTTTAAAATTCTATTTCGGAAAAATTTGAAGTTAACTGTCTAAATGCTTCTGCCACTTTAAATATTAAATAAGAATCTCCCAGCATAGTTAAAAGTTGCTTTTATAATTCTCAGTATCATATAGAGCACCCCCTCCCCCCCTTCCTCCCAGTGACATGCTTTGTAAAAGTTCAGCTTTTTTTATTTTTGTCCACTTTCATACCTGTATTTTATCAAAAGACAGATGAATAAATATTTTTTGTACAGTATTTAAACTTGATGTATTATGGTAAAGCTTTCTTAGATAGTTTGCATATGTCGAGGGGGTATTGTGTATGTTAGGTATTTCAGTCAAAAAATTTTCAGTCTTGGCCTTTTTTCCAACTTGCACCCATGTTCAACATGTTGTAATTGCAAATTTATAGTAGTGTATAGGTTAAGTATGTAGTTTGTTAATTTTTTTCTATTAAGAAAATTTGATGACTATATTTAACTGTTCTTTATAATATAGTTCTGAAATTTGGTTTTATTATACTTTTGGTTTTTTGGGAAATTTGGTTTTTTCTTACTCAGAGTATTAGATATTAAAAATTAGTATGCTATTGTAATTTTGAATTCAACATGTTGTAATTGCAAATTTATAGTAGTGTATAAGCTCAGTATGTAGTTTGTTAATTTTTTTCTTTTAAGAAAATTTGATGACTATATTTGAAAGTTCTTTATGTAGTTCTGAACTTTGGTTTTATTATACTTTTTTTCATTTACATAAAATATTTAAAGAAACCACAGTTGTTTGAGCATTTTAGGAAATTCATTAAATCCATTTTTCTTTCCAATTGTTGCTTTTTAGTTTCCACTCGTATAAAAGTGGTATATTAAATAGTTTAGAAATTAATACCATTATTTAATTATAACTATAAAAAATTATGAACTACATAAAAATTGTTTTATTATTTAATTTATTTACTTTGAAAACAATTTATTTAATTTCTGTTAAAGGAAACTATTTCTTTCTGGTTTCGTTTTTCCATGGGTTTTTTTCTGCCTTTTTTTTTTTTCAAATTGTGGCAGAACATTTCTAGCCCTAATTTTAATTACTTATTATATGTTTATTAGTACGAATTTGCTAGAATGTTTAAAAAACTACTTTGAAATGTCTAAATCGAAAGACATTTGTTTTTCGTATATATAATAAACTTTCACATTTCATTGAATTAATATATTTTTGCTCTGATCTTCTATTTCAGTTAATTAATTGGCTTATGAAGTTAAAGTTAATATTAAAATAGTTTTGTTCAATGTGCATCAGTGATATTTAATATGCATTTTTCTTCATTTCTAACCATTTTTCTAACAAAAAAGTGTTGATTGTGCCAAATTTGCTGTATATTGTACTTAAATTTATTTTCTTTTACAGGTAAATTGATATAAGCTGAACAATATTCAGGAAAAGAACTGGTATTCGTATTGGGTATTTTAAAATTAAGCAATCAATCATACCAAAGGAATATGAAATTGATAACTTTGTTTTATAAATTGAATTATTCTTAAATATTTATTGCAAATGGTACCGGTGCTAAATTTGTATGTTCCTAATTATTTTGCCATATTTTTCAAAACTTAATTTTCGTTTCATATTATTAAAATGTATTATTGTACTTATTCAAAATTCATTCAAATTGTTATAAAAATAATTTTTTAAAGAGTATGATTGAAATATATCTCTTTAATAGTTCTTATAGAATTCCTCATTAAATTGTGTAAGTTAAGTATTAACCTCTCTTTTTTTTTTCTTCTAATCAGTATTTCAGATAATTGAGCACTATTTGTTATTTTGATTTTTTTCCAAAATTTCAATAGAGTCTTAAATTGAAAATCTTTTTCAAGTGTCCAGTTTTGTCACAAAAAATAATGTCTAAACAATGCTTTAAAAAATTTTTTTTAATGCATTATTTTTGTTTATGTTTTTTCAATTTAGGTTTTTTGATTGTCTGAATCAGAAATTTCATTGGTTGTAGTGTTTTTATGTTTACCACAAAGTTTAGACATTTTCAATCTTCACAAAGTTTACATTTTCTAAAAATTTTAAAAAACCGATAACTTTATGACAAGGATTAGACGCTTTCAGTCGACACAAAGTTTACATTTTCTAAAATTTTAATAAAACCCATATTGTAGCTTTTTTGGGTGTCCAATTGGGTCACAAAAAAATTATAATCAAGATGTTAAAATTTTTTTCAATAATTAATTAAAATTTTTTTTTTAATTTTCTCAATTTAGAATTTTTTATTGTCTGAATTTTAAATTTAATAGAGCATAGTATCATCTTAAGTTAATTGTTTAAGTTAATAATTTTTTTTTTTGCTATTTAACAAAACTCATGATATGCTCAATTATGTTTTCTAGTTAATTTGTCTTTTTATTATTATTTTTTACACTTATCATTTTCTTTATTTATTTCTTTGTCATTGATTATTTACATTTGCAAAATATTTGTCTTGTATTTGTCTGGCTCATGTAAATTTTCTTATTCTCATATTTTTTACATTGCACTATGTTTTTACTTGTAATATTCATGCTTGAACTTCTTTTTTTGATGTTTTGTCCCAAATTTGCATTGTTTTTTTTTTAAATGCAAGTCGTGCTTTATTGTCATTTGCATGTCATTTCATTTACAGAAATTGTAAGCTGTTTGTTATAATTTAAATTGTGTGTGCATTGAATTATAGATACTGATTTTATTGTTAACTGATATACAGTGTTAATTGTTTTATCATGGACCAAAATAGGGTATTAGTTAAGTGTACATGACATTTATTAACTTATAATTTAAATATTTTTTCATATTACTTTTTGTCCTTATTTTTTTTACCAAAACTTTTTTTAAGCTTCATTTTTGCAATTATAACTCGAAAATTTATCATATGAGTTTGTAAATAGCACTTGTTAAAGTGATTGTTGTAGTTGATTGCATATATAACTTACCCAGAAATTGCACAATTGTCTGTCACAAGTATTTTTTTTTTTATTTTTTTGTACTTTTTAATTTGAAGAACTATAAATAGTTATTTTTTTTGCCTTGTTTTAATATTTATAATTTTTTGTCATGTAATATTTATAAATTTTTTTTTTAATTAGTACTTTTATTACAGTACAATAGACTTATTTTGTTTAAGGATGAATTTCTTAAATTAAATTTTTAATCGTTTCGTGGATGCACTATGGATTTTAAATAATTTCTACAAAATCAAATTGAAGGTGTTAGAAAACTATGGAAAACCTTTGTAAATGACCTTTTATTTTTATCTCATAGGAAAAAGTTATTAAAAATTTATTTTATGATTGAATTGCAATCAATATTTTTCATAAATTTATTTATAAAGTTTTCAGCTGTTTATAAATATTTTTTATTCCATTCTCCTTGACTTCTAAATGAATATTTCATTCTGTTCCATAACAAAACAACTACCTGTTCACATTCTGTATTTTTTCCAATTTTATAATAATTCTGTAAATATCTTGGCTCTAGATACTTGTTCATGTTTGTTCATACAGTGATGTTTGGTCACATAATTGAATGAAATCGTTTGTTTACCTTTGTAGTCTCAGTTTGATTAGTTGTCATCAAACATGGTACATCTTTTGATTTGATTAAAAAGCTCTGTAACTTTAGCTGTGTATACATATAAGATTAAACCTCATTGATCTTTAAATTAAGATGAAGATTAGTTGAACATTTTATTTTCTATTAATTGAAACTAAAAAATTTTTGGCAATGGTTGTAAAAATTTTTTTTAAATTTATCTGTTGTATTTAATTTAATTCTTTTTCTTTCTTGTTGAGAATTATTTTATAGATTCTAGAAATGTTTCGTAAACATTCCTTATACTCAGAAAGAGCTTGAGAGTTTAGTTAGTATATACCTCTTTAAAATGAGATTATTTTAAATAATACGAGCTTGAATTTACTTTTTATATTAATCAAGTTTATTGAGAAAAACTTTTCATTTCATGTCACCTTAAAAAATTTTATTAGAAAAAAGTAGTTTTTGCTTTTAGGGAAGATTATGGTCCTGTAATTTTTTATAATTTTTTCTGTTACAAAATTTAATAATTGTTTTATTGAAGAACTTTATGTGATTGCAAAGAAAATATTGATGAATGTTTATTTTGATTTTGACATTGTAATTGTAATGAAAAAGTTGTGAAGTTTTCAAGTGTTGTGATGTTGGGCAAAATTGTACATATGTTCTAGCATTATCTTTCTTTTTAAAGAACAACAAAAGCAGCAGGTTTTATTGGAATAAATTAACCATTTTGAGAAATTAGTAAAAAGCTAGAATTCAATTCTCAGAAGGTTAACTTAAATAAATAATTTATCTGACTTCGTTTATGGGAAATTATTTGACTGGAAATTTTTTTTCCCGCTTTTATTTTCAATAAACTTAATCTTATTGCAAAATATATATATTAACCCACTAAGCGTTAGCTCTGTCTTTTTTTTCTTTGCAGCTTTAACCTTCAAATTTTCTTGCAATGGTTTTCTCCTTGTTAACAATGAGAAATCATTTTTCCTTAAGTTCTTAGTGTACAGCAGAGAAATATAGTATGATTTTGTCTGTAGGCTCAACACTTGAAGGATTAAAATATGTATTAAAAATCTTTTTCTTAAGCTGCAAAGACTGATATATGTTACAGCTTTGACTTTAAGATATTTCATATGATAATATATATATATATAAAAAAGAGACAATCTTCAATACATGCGCTGTTAAATATTTTGAAATAGTGATGATCCATTTTGATTTATGTTTTAATTTTAACTTTGTACTGGCAAATTTTTAGTGCTATTTTGAAAACTAAACTTTTTAAGGATTTATAAAAGGATTATCCATGACAATTAAAAATTTACATATTTTATTTAGAAGCTATTTATGAAGACAATTAGACTAGCGAATTTTATTAACGATTTTTAATATTTATACTGACAGATAGTGATGATATTCATGTCTTTTGAGTGCCATATATCTTTTTAATATGAACTTTATTACAGAAGAGAAATTGTGATAATAAGGAACAATTGCTGATCGAGTTTTAATATTTTTGTGCAATTTACTAAGATATTGTAAACCAACATGCAGAATCAATTCCATATGTTTTCCACAAATTTAATTTTCCAAACATATGCTTAGCAGCCGTTATCCTGTTTCAGGAATTATTCAATATTAAAGTCTTCCGAAAAAAATAGGTGCTGCAGTGATTCCCCCTTATTCATTTCAAGCTTTCTATGTTTCGTCATTTTTCCAGTATACCTTGAATACATGATATCGTTTGCATTGTGCTCAGTATAGCTGATTTCAATTGAATTCAAAAAGAATTTTTTGAGATTCTTGAAGCATATAAATTTTTATGCATTAATTAGAATTAACTAGTTTGTATTAATAGTGTTCTGTGATAAATATTTTGATATATATTTTTAAAATCCTTTTCAAAAATGAAGGCTAAGTGTAAACATATTTAAAAAATCACAAAAATGCTATTGAAATCTGATACCATTGAACATATCAAGTGCTCTAATCATCAAACCTTGTTTGAATGCTAAAAAATGCAGGGAAGAGTTTTAAGATGATTATTCAAAACTTCTTCACATTTTAACCAGCAATCTAATAGATTTTTTTATACAGTGCGCAAAAATAAACCACCCTGCATGACTTTTGATTTAATGATTTGATCTTCACATACTAGGACTCTATCTTAACGGTTTGAGGGGAAACCTTGAATATGCTAATTAGTTAGTACTGACGATATTTTAAATTATGAAATCAGACACGAAAATGTACTTTCTCACGATATTTTAAGTTATGAAATCAGACACGAAAATGTACTCTTTTCGAATAAACACACCTTTTTTAATGGATTTGTATTTCATACCCATAGAATAAAAGATAGCCACAATCTGGGAAATGTACCAATAGTTTGGTCAGAAGAGCAATCAAAAATTTGGACCCCTTAATGTTGATTTTACTTGTGTATTTTGATATTTCAAAATTTTTGAGCAAATTGGAACATTTTTGCATAGTTATAAAATTTGTTAATCCAAAGATAAGTCCATGCTGAATACAATTTTTAATAATTATTTATTAGTTTATTTCATTATGGTTTAAAAAATTCGGAATTTTAAGAAATTGTTATTATTGTATATTTAAAATTTGATTTTTCTGCAGCTATTCGACCAGTTTTGTTAAAATTTTGTATTTTGACATTCTTTTAAATAATGTAAAGATGAGTATATCTTACAATTCAAAATTTTTTTGTTTCTTGTTAAATAAAATGAAGAATAATTATTAAAGATAATTTTTTATGCATGGAATTATCTTTAGATAAACTAATTTTGTTCAAATTTGTGCGGAAATCTTTTTTAATTCTCCCAAGAATTTTTCAATATGGTAAAATGCACAAAAAGTAAAATTAACGTTCAGGGGCTAATTTTACTTTAGTAAAATTAGATCTTTGGACCTCTGCCCTGGCTAAACTATTGGGACCATGTTTCCCATATTGCGGATACCCCTTATATTTTTAGTGTCAGAAATGCTTGGCATTTGGATAAACAAATTTTATGATTGTACGTAAAAATGTTTGAAACACATAAAAATTAACGAGATCCAAACTTTTGGTCTCTCTCCTGGCCAAACTACGGAGACCATATGCGACAAACGGCTATATTTTGGGAATCAAAAATCCAAATCTTTTGAAAACAAGGCATGTTTATTCAGAGAAAATACGTTTTTGTGTCTGATTATAACTTACTATCTGATAGTAACTTTTCTGTCTGATAGTAACTTAAAATATTGTTTGCACAAACTAATTAGCATATATGAGATAACCCCCTCAGAACCATTAAGATTGAGTCCTAATACTTGAAGATTGGATCGTTAAATCAAAATATTTAGGGTGGGATTTTTTTTGCGCATTGTATACCTCATTTCTCAGTGGTAATTTGTCTTAGCGTTTTTGTTTTTTCTTTCCCCTCCTATAAATATTTTTTGCAACGCTTTATGTGTATCTTGTCATCATTTTTAACACCGATTCTAAAAATATATATTTAAAGAGGTCATTACGGAACACCCTGTGTAAGCATATTTTCTGAAATATTTTTTTCTAACTGTATGTAGTCCAAGTTTAATAAAAATATGCTCACTTTATAAATTTTAACTGTCATTTGAACTTTCCACGGAAAGTATTTATTTTCATGACATTTTTGTGTGTGCACCTAAGCTATATGTTTATTGTGACTGTAGATATGAGATATATCTTGGACCGTATAAGCTAGAATCTCTATTTTTATATATGCTCTTTCTGAATTCTAAGTATACTTGTATTCTGTTTTAATGTCATCTGTGTAAAGTAATTGATAACTGTGAAAATGTATAAGAATTAAAAATAAAATAATTCTTTTCTTGTTTATTGGTAATTATTTATTTATTAATAGTAATAAAGTGTGTGACTTCAAGTAAACAAAACAAAATTAGACATTTGTTACATTTTTGTAGTTAAAATCATCACTTCTGCAGAGAACTAATACAGTTGCTCAGTAAGTAAGTTTTGATTCTTGTACTAAGTGTAATAAAAAAAAATCTCTGACCTCTTGAAAAATCATTTGGAAAAGGAAAAAAACAACATCTTGGAAATGTATCGTTTTCAGAATTCTGCTTAGGAAATAACGTTTTTTTTTTTCCTCACAGAGTTTCAAAACTATTTACATGATCATCAACAGATGGCGCTGTTGATGAAAACTGAAACTATCTTTAATAACATCATTTTGCAGTGACAACGTGCTGCAGCCAGATGACAAAATGAACCTACAATTAAACATATATTTCAGCTTGATTGATCTGACATCAGCAATGAAACTAGTAATTCTATGCAGCAATGCTGTCTCTTAACAAATTTAGTTAATAATTTTGAGAAATATTAGTTTCCTAAGCAAAATGCAGCCTCCATCCTTCTTTAATTTAGTTTCAAATTGTTCGTTATTTCTGTAAGATCTGTCCGTGGCAGAAAATATATGAGAAAAACCCACAGATGTTATCATCTTCAATAACTTGAACCATCTATGAATGATTCTTATATCAGGTTAGATCTCATTATACAACCAAATGCATTGCCGTTTTTAATATTAATTTATTTAAATAAAGTTACTACTGGCTAATTTGTGCTAAATTTGAATGTAATAATAACAGAGTTCTAGTTTATTTTATCAAAAATCTTGAGAATTTTGTGTCAAGAATCATTCATAAATTTAAGTTATAAAAATTTTGATATAATAATGCTCCCCTTCCACAGCTATGCCTTTTGTAAAAAAAGTGAGGATTGTTAAATAAGCTTGTATATTAGACAAAATATTATGCGAACAAAACTGAAGGTTTTTCTTTTTTGGAAGGGGGGGGGGATTAAACAGCTTCAGGTCAATATTTCAAACGGCCATTCGTTTGGACTTGTGGCAGTGTCTTATCAATTTGCTGCTTTGAAACTAATTAAAAATTACAAAAATACCATTTTTTTCCAAAACAAAAACCTTAGTAAACAGTATTCAAAAACATAATTTCAGCTTCGTTGACTTTTAGTTGTTTTGCCTTTTACGGTGTCATTTGAGAATATCTCTTTCAATGACGATTTGAAATACCGTGCTAGCAAGCTGAATGATCATCTTGAACTTCTAAAACAGTTTGCCTTAGAGGTAATTAATAATAGCCCTTCTGAGGCCTTGGCTATCTACACGGATGGCATCAAGTTTGAAGACTAGAGCTGGGAGTGGTGTTTTCATCAGCTACCAGGAAATTAAATTTAGTATCAGTAACATGACTTTTGCTCAGTTTTTAAGTCAGAAATTATTGTTATTGGGAGGGCTTTTGAATTTGCTCTTACTACTGATTATAATAGAGTCTGGATCTTGACTGATTGTAAAAGTGCCATCAGATACCTAGAAAACTGGCAGGAAATATACGACAAACCTGACCAGGATTTGCTAGTACTTCTCTCCGAGCTACGTCTTAGGAAATCAGAAGATTCCTTCGCACTCTGGCGTGTATGGTTATGAGATTGCAGATAATATTGCTAGAAATAGTTGTGATCTTCCAATCGCCAACTCTGTTGAGCTTACTCCTTCGGAAATCCACTCGCTCCACAAATGTAATTTACTTTCTTCTTGGCGCTTCCCATCACTTCTTAACTGGTAAGCTGCAAATGCTCAGGGCCTGTCTCTGTTATGCAGGGATGAGTAACAACAGCAACATAATTTCAGCTCATTCTTATTTAGAAAGAAACCTTTTAATAAGTAATTATTGGCTTTGTATTAAAGAAATTGTTACATATATATATTAACTAACCACTTGGACTTAGTTTTAATTGTTCGATTTTTAATGATTAATTCTAAATAAATCACAGTTTCTGTTTTTTTTACTTTAAAAAAATTCTTTTTTCTAGAATTAGAATGATCTTTTGCTCTATAGAGAAAAAAATAGCAATAAAAATTGCAATATAGTATTTCTTAATTAAATTTGAAATATTAAAAAAATTCAGCTGAACGTAAGATATACTTTGGAGTAAGAAGGAGGAAAATGGATGGTTAGCAGAATTCGCTAATATTATTTTATTTAGCATTTCTGTATCGCTAAAAAAATAATGCATGGAATGACATGATAAAACTATTGTTCTACGCTTCACAGCAATACAGAAAATTAAGTATTATTCTGCTATCATCCATATTTTCCTCTTACTTACTCCAAAAAATAAAAAGCAATGCAAGATAATATCAGAAAATGTATATTCTAATATTATATAGCATCAAAACTAATGCAAAATAATATTATGGCGAACGGTAGATAATATTAGTTTGCATAGAATCTAATATTATATAAGGCAGAGCAAACAGCGACCTCTCGTATCTTTCTAATATTAGAAGTTGTACAAGATAACGTTAGATTTTACTGATTTTTCTGATGTTATCTAATATTAGGTGCTACTTGGATATGCTAGTGCAGGGGAAACGTGGGTTTGTTTGGATATGCATTTATCTCGTTACAAAACCGGAAAATGAAATTTTAGAAAGAGCTTTAACAATAAGCCGCCATTGAGAGGCACAATAAATAATTCTTGAATCGATTACTATAATTCGTTGTAAAAATTCCTCAGTGAAGTGCAGTAAATTTTTTAATAATATTTCAAGGAAATTTCTCTGATTTCGTTTCTGATTCTTGTTTACATATTGTCATTTCTTATTTTACTCACATTGAGCCTTTTTATTATTCAAAACCTGTTATATTTTTATTATAAATTCTTGAGAAAAGTTTTGCACTGTGTGCAAAATGCTAAACGGAATAACTTTTGATCTAATAATGGAATTCTTACTTGCTGAGATATGGTTTGAGCGGTAGACCTTAACTACTTATTATTTAGTACGGACGTTATTGTAAGTTACGAAACATGACAAAAGTTTACTTTCTTAGAATAAAACGTTCTTTTTTTTTTTTTTTTTTTGAACTAAAATAGTCAAANTTTTTTTTTTTTTTTTTGGTGGAGTTTCATTTCTTGTCTTCAAAATATGGGGTACTCACAATCTGGAAAAATATTGTTCCAATAGTTCAATTTTGAAAGAGAACCCAAAAGTTTGTGTCTTGATTTTTTTTCATGCTTCGTTATACCTTTGAAAAAAATTTCAACTTAAAAAAAGAAATTAAACAGCAAACGCTTCTTATTTTCTCAAAACTGTGGCTTTTTTCTATTTTGACGTTTTGCGCCAGTTTTAGAATAAACACAGAGGGCGCTGGCTGAAGATAAACTAAGCTTAATGTAACATGAGTAACTATTGCAAGCTTACATCAATAATGAAACTAACATCGTATTTGCGAAAAAGCACCATCTAGAGCCGTGATGGCTCCGGAGATAGAGCGTTCGCCTTCAA